TCACATGCTTCATAAGCAAGGCTCTTTCCTCTTGAAAACTAACACATTGCTAATTAGAGCTATACACATGTACTCCTTCATTAACAAGTGCATGCAGGGTGAGATCATATCTTGAAAAGACTGTGCCTCACTCTTTAAGTATTGCTTGTTGGAATGAAGTGAAACTACTACTTCAGAATAGCGGTAGAAAATCTCACTTGGGAGTTTCCATTCAACACTTTGGCCTCCCCATCAGGAGTTCAGATCCCTGGAGCTTTGGGTCTCTTTCATGGCTCGTGGCTCATGGCTGACACATTATGATGCAAAACTTCATAATGCATGCGTTCATGATGTATTGGGTTGAGTTACATTCCTCTCTGTAGAAATTCAGAGCTGTGAGCTGCAGAGATTGTGATTACTACACTACAGAGGAATGCACTAACATGCCCCTCAACCCTTTTCTTGTCAGCAGTCTGTAAATTAAAAGAAAACAAAGCTGCAAAAGTCTGTCTCCTTGCCGACTGTGGTAACAGATACATGTTTTTCTTACTTATTATGAAAAGGGCCTATATCACAGTTGACTTTTACAGTATGTTTTTGCTGTAGAAAGAGCCAACAAGTATTGCATAAAAACATTCCTGGTGAAATGCTGCGCTGTCTCTTTAAGAAAAAACTGGATTAAGAGTTTGTTCAGCACACAGGTGTAACAGTACAAAAGTAATCATGTTATTTTTTACAAGTGGAGTATCTGTGGGCTGCCAGATTGCTTGTAATTTGTCTGAGTCGAGTTTACTGGAAGATAAAGGTCAGTTTAAGCTGGATGATCATTTCAATCTATGGAAACCATACACTCTTGACAAAACCAAATGACATGCTAGCCCATTGCAATCAGCGTTGAGAAAGTAATCAGTGCTTGATTAGATGTAATGTGCCCCGTATTGATCCGCCTCTGCAGCACACGCTCCGAGTGCTCTGAATGAGAAGCGTTCGATCACCGGGGAGGTTAAACACAGTCTGTTTCCGCAGAGTGGATTGCCCTCGACAACAGGAATGACAGGCAGGAATGAGATAACTGCCTGTGATTCTTGGCCGAACCAACGTCTACCCTCCTCTGCCAACGTGTTGCTGATATATCTGTCGGAAACGCTGTCAGCTATTTTTCCTATTATTTATTTTCCGTGTCAAAATTAATGATTCTTTTCAAGAGCCTGGCAGACAACACTTTGACACCGGAATCTCACAGCTGCTATGATTTGACAAGACACCGCAAAATAAAGTCTGGTCGAGACAAATATATTGCCGTTATAGTGTGATGCCCCTGGAAGATTGAGCAACAATATTTTACCGTCTCAGTTATATTTATTAACTTTTGGTTCAAACACACCTTGTTTAGATGTGATAGCTGTGAAATTCATCACTCTTTCTTTTATCAGCTGCATCACAAGGCTCTCACCACCTGTTTATAATTATCACATTGCTAAATAGAGTTATGCGTCTACTCTTTATGAACAAGCGGATTCAGGGTGAGATAATATCTTGCAAACGATGCTGTGCCTCATTATTTCTGCATCACTTGTTAGAACGAGGTGACACTGCTGCGTGACAGTATTAACGGCTGTCTCACTTGACGGAGAAACCTTGTTCAATAGATTTAACAGAAATGCATATAATGAACTGATGGGTAAAATCTATTTTTCTCAGTTAATGCAGTGGCCTTACAACAGGGCAACAATGGCAAACCACAGCAAGAGAATTACATGTGTGCATATAAAATCAAAAATGAACTAAGCAATGGATTAAACAAGATATAAGGTTAATCATTTAAAATACAACATTTTTTTGCAGAAATGCTGAAAACAATTTGCTTGATTTCTCATTCTTCTTTTACTAAACATGACATTTTAACATCTCTGCACAAAACAATGAATATGTCAACATGGGCTCGGTGAAACTGTGATTTAAAAAAAAAACGCGTGTGGCGTTAGTTACCCAAGTGTCATTGTCCGTAAAACACTTGTTTGCATCAGAAAGCAGACGGTTAGGTGAAGATGAGTCTGATACAGATTTCAATTTCTTTATTTTTTATTTCTCCCGCTCGACTATGGACTGAAATACCAAACATAGTTGTTGGTGTTTAGCTTTCCCCCACACTACCTGAAAGTATACATTAAGCCTTAAAGTGTTTTGAAGTGTGGAGACATCAGAGTAAGCGGGTCAATCTGAGAGCAACTCTACCTTTCTGAGCTGATCCTGTAAAAACTCCTGCTCTTGCAATCCTCAGACCTCGCTCAGACCTCGCTCAGACCTCATCAGCCCCGACACACACAGAGCATGAAACCGCTCTGCTTCAAACGGCTCACATGTCTCCTACAAGGCCTGGCTGGTCACCTCATCTGAGAGATTAGAGCAGGCAGCAGAGGCAGGATTGATCTCAGGGGGAAATAACTCACTTTTATCAGTTTGAGGTTTACTCATGGCCGTTTAAGGAAAAGTAAATATAACCCTATGATGGTGTCTTTGAGGGGTGTCCACTAGCAGATGGCAGCATCCGATGGGGGGCCATTTGGTATGTTCCTATCTTTGTACTGCACAGGTGGGTGGTGGTGCAGATCTCTCTTTCTGCTTTCTCCTCTGGGGAATGTTTAGCTGGTCGGGGTTTGATGTGGCAGGGCCCCTGCCAAATAATCACAGCCCGGACAGAGGGGGGTGTGCAAGCCTTCAGCCCAGCATCCAGGGATTTGTGAAAAGTTGTCTCAAGGGAGGGAGGGGGTTTGACGCCTGGCGAGTGTCGTTTCACAGACGGATGATAATGTGGAATGGGATCAAAAGGGAGGATTTTGGCCGAGTGGTGATTTTCACAGTGGTGCACGGCTGAGTGGCTCAGTTTTCAGCCGGTCTGGGTTTTTGTCATCTTTTTTATTATTTTGATCTCCTCTTCAAACTCTTAGTCTGTGATCTCTTTCTCAATCCACTCTTTTCTTTCAGATTTATTGTTCTTCTACTCCCGCTCCCGTTTTCTTCTGTGAGAGGCGGAGTTGCTGGGCCTTTCAGGACGGATGCCCCCGCCAAGGGCCTGTCCACCGGCATCACAGCAGCTTTACTCAATTCTGCTGACGGCTCACTCTGAACTGTCAACAGTTGCTTTTCCTCTCATCCGCCAACACAGTCAGTGATTACTTTCAACATCATCTTCACTATTATTATTATTATTATTATTATTATTATTATTATCATCATCATCAAGAACGCTATCTCCATCATCTTCAATCATCAGCCCTGTTTCGACCGTTCCACCCGTCTAGAGTCATTTTCACAGTATCACAGACTGATTCTGAATATAACTGCACACAGAAATAGGACAGAGAATGTGTTTTCAGATCTCTAAATGCCACTCTTGAGAAAAGCAGCAACAAAATAGCATGGCTGTGTGCAAATTACAGCTTTAGCATGTCTAGGCAAACACTTGAACTACTCCACATTCAGCACGTGCTGCACCTGTGGGATCTGTTTACAGCTTAAAACAGCAGCCGTAATGGCGAGAGGTGAAATGACTTAGCTGTGGGGATAAAATGGCTTGTGATTTTGCTTAGTGCTGCACTCTTTGTGCAACGGGTAAGAAATAACAAAGCTATTGTTGCCTCTGCTGTTTTTCTGCTCATTTACAGCAAAACGTTGTCTACCGTTATCGCCGCTATGGGCTTCAGGAGTAAACTGAAATCCATTAGATGCTTATTTAAGACAGAGCCTCGTCCAAAGCTGAACTGGTGCATAATTGCACAGTGGGGAGACTAAAGAGAAAAGATGCCCGCTAATAACAACTTACTGTTACACATGCTGTTACAGGCACTGTTCAGTTTGGATGTTATACCTATTTTACATAACAGGCCTACAGGTAGAGATGTCACAAGAGCCAATACTTTGGTTACAATCAATGCCATAAAGATCTTTTGAGGCCAGATATTGGAGAGTGACAGTGTTAAAAGGTGGTGGGGTAGAGAGGATGACATGGAGCAGGGACTTTGCCGGTGCATGGGCCGTCGTCTCTAACCAGAGCTGTATAGCAGCCAAGACGATACTCGTTTTCATTCAGTACTGCAGGTGGCCTGTAGTCACGCCAGAGGTCGAGATAAGCGGTGTCCTTGGATCCCAAGATGAAAGGAAAAGCATTTGGACGCAGTAAAATCACTACTGACACATTGTGATATGCATGCAGTTTTTGAACATACTGTAGTGCCTTGATGCAATCTTTTAGCAATTGGTCCCCATTTTGTTTGCACACCATCATTTGAATTTAAACATACATTCTGTTTACATAAAAACTGAGATATTTTTTACTTCCAACTACTTTTTAACAGAATGGCACGTCTTCCTTTGAGATGATCGATTCACTTCAATATCAGAACTTCCGTCCATCATCTATACCAGGGGTACTCAAACTTATTTGTTAAAGGTCCACTTGTGAATTTTATACAAGGTCAATGGTCCGGATCAATGCCAGTAAAGTCCCCGTCCCCCCCAACCCCCGGAGCGGAGCAACAAAACTGAAATTAAGAAGCAGTTTCGGTGCGCTATGCATGGGGCCCTCTTGAGGGGGTTTCCCGACATGTCGTTGCAGTAAATAAATTAAAGGGTGTTTCATGTTGGTTGCTGTGTACATTCTTAATCTTTTTTTTGTTGTTGAAATTGTTACGTTTATTCTGGTTTGTTTTGTGTTTGTATCTTTTATTTAAAATGTATTCATTCATTTTATGTTTTGTGAGCTGAGCTGTGTGATTGTATATGTTATGTATCTCTGTACAGCACTTTGGTCTCGAGGTTTTAAAGTGCTATATAAATAAAGTTGGATTGGATTAATCTACTTTATTTGGGGGCCCCCTTCTGGTCCAAGCACTTGCCTGTCTGTAAGCGGCGCCCCTGTATACACACACACACATACAATACATACATACAGTATGATGGCTTGAACTAGTGGGAGAAATGGCACTGTTTGTCTGTAGCCAATGCCTTGAACCTCGGCAAAAATGGCATTAGGAGCATTAGAAAGTCAAGGTAAACTTGCGGTCTGCAATGTGTGTCACGCTCACGTCTGACACAAGAAAATATACATTAAAGGGGACCTATCATGCAAAAAGCACTTTGTGATGTCTTTTATACATAAATATGTGTCACCGGTGCGTCGGGGAACTCACGCAGCGTCAGAAAAATAAAACCCTCTCTCTTTTCCTCCGTACCCAAATCTTTTAAAAACAGGGGTACAACGAGCGGATACAGATTTGCTGCCGATCTAACGTCAAATCGGCAGCGGACCCACAGAAAGTTGCTATCATGACGTGTTTTGGACGTAATCTCGTCTTTGTTTACATTAGCAAGCCTCGCTAACACTCAGAGCTAACCTGTACTGTAGAGCACATGTGTTTTTAAAAAGCAGGAAATAAAAAAGGAACTCTCCTTGTGATAAACCCGCAAGAGAAAAAGCATTTGAGCTCCATACTGTTTCAGAAATAATCTTTGATGTGGTTTAGAACAGGATGGCGTTTTATCACAGCAGAA